ACACCTCAAAAACCTCCTATTACCAAGTTTCGTTTAATTAAGTTCAGTATTTCAAAAGTTATTTGAAAAAAACGAAAATAAAAATAAAACTTCAACATCCTGTATCTTGGAAACGAAGCGTTTCCGGACATTTATTTATTTGGACAATTCATATTAGAATATTGTGAGGAATCACTTCCTGAAGTTTGTCAAAGTACTTTTGAATCACCCTGTATGTTGTTTAGGAATATACGTACACAAGGTATTCCTGGAGTTTATGGGAATAACTGGGATAACTGGAAATATTGTTCCAGAACATCAGCCATAGTTGATAACTAACACTAGCGAAACCCCAGAAGAATGTAAATGATTTTTCACATCAATTCATAAATCATATTTCTATTATTTATCAACATAACCCTTGTATCATCAAAATTTCAGTAAAGAAATTACGATGTGATCTTCAATCTCATGCCATTACAAACTCACAAACTATTATCAGAACGACTCTTGGAAAAACGGTATCTAAATGAAATTAGATTTTCAGACGTATTATTAGTTGCTTGGTTTCAATAGGTAGATCTTCGTGGATAGATATTAAGACAAAATTCATTCAATTTCTGAATAATTTTATTCGGCTTTCCATACAGGAAAATCACTCTTTGTGAAAAATAATATATAAAGGAAGTGGTGGAATATGTTTATATTCACATTTCATACAACATATATTTTGTTGATGGAGTTTGCCAGTTTCTCATTTTGGATAATAATATTTCCATAAACTCATTTTCATTCTCTTACTTATTCTGCCATTCCTTCTCAAAATTTCCTCTTCATGGATAGAATCATTTATCGTCAGTCACGATCTGTATCTGTGTCTGTAGAGTAGGTAGGGTGAGTGTAGCACATGTGACCTATTGTACATCCTCCCGAAGAATTGTTCTTCTAGGTCATCGTCCATCCTGTCCTTTCCAGGAAGGTGGACAGGTCACTAGGAGACATCTCCTTTATATTGGCAGGTGTAGGCCAAAACTCGCCGAACACACACTCTTTTTGGCAACCGTGTCTCATGGTGTCTCATGGTGGTCTCCGCGAAGATTTTGGAAAGTACATCGACATTACTGTCGTTGCGCGGCTTCTTCAACCTTTATGGGGTTCCCTCCGTGGGGGTGACAAGTGAGGGAGCTTTCCTATTGGGCAGCCGGTTCCTTCCCTTTATTCAAGGCGGATCTCTTGGCGCCCGCTGCAGGAAGTGCCCTTGCTGTTGGAGGTGGAGTGGGGACGGAGTAGGGTGCACTTATAGTTGCTGCCACTCCTGCCAAATGCGCTTACGCTTTGGCCTTTGTATTACATCACGAGGTGATCTGTGGTGTGACAAGCCTCATTACAAGCGGTAGATTGGGGTGGACATTTCTGCACATCCTCAGCCACCGCCTTAGATTGAGGTGAGCACTTCTGTCCAGCCTCGGGATTGGTTTTTATTGTTTCTGTTTTTGTGTTTGTTTCATTCATGAGTGTTCCCACGAGTAGCAAGGGAAGAGTTGGTCACTTCTGGCAGAGAATTATCACTTTATATAATAGAGATAGGCCATGAAGTTTCCACCGATTACTCATAGACAACCATTCCGTAGTAACTAAGGTATGAGAGATTCTTTCGAACTTCCGGATTCCAAAAATAAGTCTTAGGCAGGAATTTTGCAGTTTTTGGATTCTAGATGTATCTCTTGCTGTCAGACAGGGCCCATAAACGAAATCGCAATAGCTGGCTTGGGATAGTACCAGAGAGTTGCATAAAAGAGTTTTGAGTAACCTACTCAAAATATGTCTATGATCATATAAAATTTTAAGTTTTGCGTAAGATTTCTGAAGTATGAAAGATACATGATCGGAGAATTTTAACTTACTATCGATAAATAATCCAAGGTTTTTAGACTTACCTTTCACAGTTAGTTGATTACCTTCTAATTGAATGTTTATATCAGGTAGATCAATA